TGTTCGCGGAGGATGTGGAACAACACATGGCTGTGCTGCCGGAGGTAACCATTTTTACGACCGAAATTACAATAGACGATGTCCGGGTTGGTGATCCTGGAATACCCTTGACAGAGGATCAAGAGGATTTGCGACGGCTGATATGGAAGAGTCGTCGCCTGTTGATCGGGAAAAGAAATGCATTGCCCCCTGCAGCACGCGGGGCCGTTTGCGACATTAATGTGGGAGAGGTGAGGCCGATCGCTAAGCGTGTACGACCTGTTGCGCTATTGTTTCGTGAGAAGTTGGCCGATCTGATAAAAGGCCTGTTGTCAGCCAAGATTATCCGACCTTCGAAATCGCCGTGCGCATCACCAATATTCATAATTATTAAAAAGAATGGAGAAGATATTCGACTGTGTATCGACTATCGACGAGTTAACCAGCTAAAACAGCTGATGGTGTACCCTATGCCACTTATCAGTGAATTGTTGCAGGACATGGACAAAGCAATGTGGTCATGTTCGCTGGACATGGCGAGTGGGTTTTGGGTGGTAGAGATGACCGAAAGAGCAAGATCGATCTCTGCGTTTATCATGCCGTCATGTCTGTTTGAATGGTTGCGGACGCCTTTTGTTTTGAAGATCGCCCCACAGATCTATCAGCGTTTAATTGATGATGCTCTATATGGTTATCTCAAGATCGGCACAGATAAGGATGTGAATGCAACGGATCATCTCAAGTTAACGGATGTGTTTACTGAGGGAGATCCGGAAACGGATCAAGCGCCGTCAGTGCTGGGTAGGCGATCTTATATTGACAATATGTTGATCCCGGCTACGTCATGGACATCTTTGTACGACAAGGTCGAAAGTTTATTGACAGCATGCGATCGGTGGAATCTGTCAATCAGTCTGATTAAGAGTTTTTGGATCGGGCGTAAGGTAAATTACTTAGGTCATCAGGTATCTCTGTCTGGGTTGGAGGCCAATCCTAAAGATCTAGGGTTGCTGTTCAACATTCCTTTTCTCACAACTTTGCGACCCATGCAATTGTTCCTAGTTAGCTTGAACAATTACATTTGTTCCATAGAAAATTTTGCAGTATATGCATCTGTGAGTTGTACGAGTTACGAGAATTTTTTTTTTAAATGAGCCATATCTGAGATCATTATGCAATGTCGGGAAGTTGCGATAACACATTACAAGGGGTGAGCATGGTCCAAATGAGCAATCTTGGTGGGAAAAAGCCGCTATTGCATTCACTTTGCTGAAGGCCAAGAATGCTACAACCCCAATCCTCGAACATTTAGATCCAGATCGACTTCCAGTGATCGTGATATATGCTAGTAAGTGGGCAGTATCGGCATCTCTATTGCAAGAATATGACGGCGTATACTGGCCGGTGACATTCACGAGTCACACACTGAAGCCTAATAAAGTGTATTATTATGGTATGGTGTAGAAAGAAGTATTAGCCCTACTTCGAATCCTGGAAGTGTGCTAAACCTTGCTTATATCCCGAGAGATCAGGGCGCATACTCGATATTCGACGTTAGCTTGGTTAATTCTATCTTCTGGACTCAATGGGAGACTGGGAAGATGGGCTGCGCTGCTATCGAATTGGACACTGGAGGTCAAGAGATGTAACAAAGGATAGTATTAAATACTAGGCGCTCTCGCAGCTAGTATAACTCTGCGAGATGAGGTAGATGATGTGTTGATCGCGATCGCTTCACAGAAGAAACCTTAACAGTTGGTATCTATGCTACAGCCCACGGTAGGTACGGATATGCCTGTTGGTGGTCAGTTTCGACGGATCGGCACGGACTAAACAGAAAAGCGGGGCATGTATTGCGTTTGTGTGGAAGCTACCAGAATGGACCATCGTCTCAGCCGCTTCGGAATACGCGGCAGATCTGACGGTGAATGCTGCAGAATATTGTGGCATATTGTTGGGTCTCGATCTGCTGGGCAACCAGACTAGTGGACGAGTCATTGTATGTGGTGATTCAAACCAAGTGATCATGCAAATGCGGGGAGAGATAAATTTCAAGGCGCCCGAGCTACATTTATTGCGTCGTAAAGCAATGCAGTAACTGTGATCTTGGCCAAAGGTCGGGTCCTACACATTAAGAGGGACTGAAATTAAAGCGCGGATCGACTAGCCAGTGCAGCTTTGCAGCAAGAGGAAGGTGTCATTGTGAACTTGGATTAATAATTGCAAGATTTAATATCACTCAACAGGCTGCATGAGTTGCTTCTGCTGTAAAGGAGGGTTCGCGTAGTGAAAATGATAGCAACCACACGATCCGCACGGCGAAGGCGTTAACAACCCGAAGTTTTACAAGAAGAAATAATGCAGCGGATGCTGATCGAGCGGATAAAACAAGCGCAAGATGAAGAGAGCTGTATCTTTAACCTGAAGGAATATCTTGTGGGCGACCTGACCCAGTTAAATGCAGAGGATACAAAATTATGCGCTCGGATCGTTCCAGACTACAAAGTGGACGCGAACGGATTGCTGTTCTTCATCCCCCGATCCGCTAAGGGATCGGACGATCGTATAGAGAGGGTCCGTATGGTTGTATCAGAATTGTTGCAGCAAGATTTTATGCACCTTTGTCACACAAGCTTGGAGGGCGGTCACCAAGGAATTAAAGGGACTTATCAGCGTATCAGATTCAATTTTCACTGTATAGGATTGTATGGGAGTATACAACGTTATGCTGGCGAATGTGCGGACTGTACTACCGGAAAGGGTCTACATGCACTCCGCGGCAGATCCCCAGATAACATACAGGCTACACACCCATTTCAGGTGATCGCGATCGATCCTATCCCAACATTGACGCGGTCTTTAAAGGAAACACAGAACTGCTGCTGTGGGTAGATCTTTTCTCAGGATATGTGATCGCGAGAGCAAGATCGTCGAGGACCGCGCAAACGACCGCTGAAGGATATGAAACATGTGTGTTTCGAAGATTTGTATCCAGTGAAGTTATAAGTCACGACAGGGAGCCGGGTTCTATGTCCACCTTTTTAAAACATTTAATCGGATCGCAGGGCAAGAGTAACGTGCGGATATGGCGTACCGACCGCAAGCGAACGGAACTGCGGAGATTATGGTACAGAAGTTGACTTGGTCGATTATGATGTACGTCACGGACGTAGAACAGGAAGACTGGGTAGAAAATGCAGAAAGATTGACATTCGCTATGATCCGTGGAGACACTCCGTTCTATTCGATCCATGGCTGTGATCCAAGATCGACATTAAAAGCAACGTTACCGTTGGGGACCACTAAAACACGCGATGCTGACCCTAGAAGGTGGCGATACAACGTCCAACGTCAAAATCAGAGGGCAAGAGCAGTGGTAAACGAACGTCTCAAGATCGCGATCCAAGATCGAGCGGATCGACACAATCACAATAATGAGATGTGTGATATCAAGTGCGGATCGCAAGTTTGGCTCTACTTGTACCGAGTCAAAGTCGGCTATGCCCGAAAGTTAGCACATATGTGGCATGGACCGTTCCGAGTGGCGAAGTCATGTGGGGAACATGCTGTTCGGGCGGAGATTTCAGAAATTACATACCGATTGTTCCCGATAGTGCACGTCTCCAACTTAAAACCAGCCATTTCTGGTCGCTCTCGCAACTGTTCCAACCTCCGATCCACGCGTAGTCGACAATGTACAATTAGTCGTAGAAATCGCAACGGAGTCAGTTGTTCGTGCTAGCCAGCCGCAAGTTAAACTCGTTATGGCCGAGTGCATCGACAGTTTTTGGCTCAATGGACGTAACACGACGATCCGACCTGGATAGACAAAGAGGACCTGAACTGGGACGCGTTGTTGTAAGATTTGAGCGCAATCGTGCCAGTCAAAACCGGTTTGAAGTTATGCAGGTCTATGAAGAGGAAACGAAGCTTAACGTTTTAATTGAAGCAATGAGCGGTGGAGCATGCTAAATGGTAGACGTGGAATGGTGGATGAGCATATTCACAAGGATATTGTATGAGATGATGGATCGGGGCTACATGAAAAATGTGTGGCGATAGCGGATCGAAGGGATCCGATCGCGGTTAAAAAGCCGAAATAAAAAAGTTGATTTCATGATGAAGAATGAAGAGATTTTTTATTGAATTATGTAATTATCTGAATCAAACTTCCAGCGATCAATCAGGAAAAAAACTTACTTGGCAATCGTACAATTGATGATCCAGGGTGGTCCGCGATAGAGGATCGCTACTGAGAACGCCAAGGTTCAGCGGCATCCAGCAACGAGAGAGCAGCGATCGAATCGGGGATGCCCTTCGGTTTGCATCCGAGGCCAGGTAACCAGGGGAAACCTTTTTGAAAGAAGGGAAGTGTTAAAAGAAGGGATCCAACAGAATGTCCAGGTCACAGTGACCTGCGATCATACCTTGCAAGATCTATCGAAGGAACGCCTTCCACCGAGGCCCAGCTCGCGACCGACGCTGCTTCCGCTGTTTACAGAACTGGTTCAGCTCAGGATTGTTGGTCCGCTGTTCACTAGAAAGGAAGATCGCGTGCGTCGACTTCCACAAAGCCTGTCGGCTCGATCCTTTAACCCCAAGTAAATAGAGGCGAGCTGGTAGAATAAGCCGGTACGAGGGAAGGAGATCGGCGCAATCCGACGTGTGGCTGTCCATTAAGGCTCTTGGGTGTATAAGGCCGCGATCTGGGCTGAACACGCCAGCCGAGGTGTTAACTCAGATGTGGGAGAAGGACACTTGGGCTCCATAACCGTCGGGAAGATTTAGCCTTTGGGACGGGATAGTTGGCGGTACAGGAAGTCAACGTCCATCTCCGCGACGCTCGTCCAACTGACCTTGCGTGCCGACCAGGGAGAAACCTGAGTGAACGATCGCGGTACGCGATCTCGATATCCAGGTATTCGCTGGTTGCGAGAGACCTTGGAAAAGGGAAAGCTTTTATTTGATCCGCAAGGGATAACATCGGATTGACGCGATCACGAGGCGAATCAGAGAGGCTGATGGCACCATTCGAGTCGCCGGACGCTTCTCCGAAAAGGTCTGCGCGAGATACCTTGGTCACGGTGGATATGAAAGGATCGACCGGACGTGGAGGATCGCGCGAAGGGCTCGGCATGTCTCTGACGATCGGATCCGGAGAAGGCCCAGCCGAAGGTTGTGCCGCCGTATTGGACGCACAACGACGACTGGAGGACCGCGAATCAGATAAAGCAGCTAAAGTCTCATCCTCACCTGCCGACGTATCCTCCCCCGCAGACGAGGCTGAGCTCGGCCCACGGCGCTTCTGCTTGCCCAGTTTCGGGGTAGCTGCAGGCTTCGCTGGATCATGGCGATTCTTGAATCGCGACGATCCTTAGGATCGCGGGTTCCCTTTAAATCCGACGAAGGCTTGGGATAGCAAACTGGAGACTGCTTGGCTTTAGCAGTAGCGGATCGTGCCACCTTGGGATCGCGAACTAGTGACGGCTTAGCTTTGGACGCAGCGGATCGAGTCACTTTATTGAAAGGTGGCAAAGTTAAAGATGGTAGGGGATCGCGTGATCGCTTGCGACTCGATCCTGAACCGTTTGGCATCGGCTGAGGAGTCTCGGGAACAAGTGTGTGGGTTAACGATCCCACCTTCGTAGGTTTGGCTTAAGTATCCCCAGACACCAGCGACGCCATGCGATCTCGAAGGGTCGTGTGATCTTGTACTGCGCGATCACGTTCGGAAGCCACGTCCACGAGCTGAACTCGCATCTAGTCTAAGGTAACGTCACGATTCGATCCGATGCGACGCAATTGATCACAATCAGCGGATCGGGTGGATAGAGGATTTTGCGCCTCATTAGTTCGGCCTGAAGCCCCGATACCTGCTTTTGGCGCGCGACACAGCTTTTCCTGGTCGGCCTGAAGCCCCGCTACTTGTTTGAGTGCACGAAGCAGCTTCTGTTGGAGTTGAAGGTCGCTCATTGTACTTCGAATTCTTCTGTTGGCCTTGTACAGGCTGTGGGACAACTTGTCGCATTCATCCACCAACCGTTCACCCGCCTCGTCCATCTGCTTGCGAATCCCGACAAACTCACGATCGGCTTTCTCCTGTGCGGCATGACGTGCTCGCACAGTCTAGAAAGAATTTCAGAATTCAAGTGTTCGATCAAGACGGTCTGGTTGACCCGGTCGGCCAACGCTCCCGAAAGCCTTCGGACCGCGTGATCTCGTCTTCATAGCGAACGCGCAAGCGGTCGTACTTCGGTTGGACAAACTGAACAAAAGGGGACGCGGAGGTGAGGAGCTCCTGAAGATCCTCTTCAGATGGCGATTCTGGATCATCTGCTGCTCCAAAGCAGCCTCCATACTCTGTACCGATCCACGACAGTCTGTTAGAGGTTCAGGCGTAGTTAAGCGAATCAATCGCTGCGCTTTACGCGGCTCGGACCACCCGCCCCGAGGCTTCGATCCGAGTACTTGGGAGCAAGATGGGCTGCCTCGGATCCAAGGCTGGGACGTTTTGGCCGTAGCAGGTCCTGTCCGGAGCGGGGATCGAAGAGGATCACGACAGAGGGATCGCGATGGAAAACCAACCAGAGCCTTCCCCGTCTGGGCCGACGTTACCACAGCCGGACGATCACAATCGGTCACCGGCACGGTGGAGATGTCTGAGATCGCAGGACTGGTAGGCGTCGAGGTTCCGACATCTGAAGTTGGGATCGCAGAGGGCGATCCAGGGGGCCCCGATCCTGAAACAGGAGGAGATATCTGATACCGGTGGGCTGGATTGGATATCGTGTCAGAAGATGCGAAAGTGCGTGAAAAGGAGTAAAGCACACAAGATTACACAGCCAGATCAACACCGTATGATGACTGATGGTGCAGGGGACGGTTGTGGTAACGCGATCACAAGTAAATTCGATTGGGACTTGGATCGGCGATCGCACGGATTGCACGCCTGAGTTAAGCCAAGACTGCTATGATTGGTGGATACAGGCCGGGACGGTTGGCTGGCAATATCGTACCCAAACCCCAAATGGACAGGATTGTACAGCCTGGGAAGAGGCTATAGGGCGGTCACACCCGTTTTAATTACACAATTCGTCATGAGACGTGGCAAGACAAGATCCTCGATCTCACTGAAAGACCGCGATCCTAACCCGGGATCGCAAGTCCGATCTCAGCGGCGATCCCCTAGTAGGATCACGATCTGCTAGTAGGATCATGATCCGCTAGTACGATCAATTCCTCTAGTAGAATCACGATTCTAGTAGGGTCACGATCCGCTAGTACGATCACGATCCTTATAGGATCGCGATCTGCTAGTAGGACCATGATCCGCTAGTAAGATCACGATTCGCTGGTAGGATCACGATCCACTGGTAGGATCACGATCCTATAGTAGGATCACGATCCACTAGTAAGATTACAATCCTAAAAGGATCACGATCCACTGGTAGGATCACGATCCGCTAGTAGGATCACGATCCACAAGTAGGATCACGATCCGCTCGCAGGGTCATGGGGATATCTTTGGTGGGCCACAAGAAGATACAACTGCTGATATACTGGGTATGGACCACACAATTGCGAGGGGACGATCCTTCTGGAAAGGCGACGCGTGGCATCTGGTTAGGATATACGGATAGACATAGGAGTAGGGTTCTAGATTGGTTGGTTAACATTAAACAGACTTCAATTTACTTCACAAGGCACGCGTTATCTCTTCCAGGTAGGATATTTGGCCCACCGTCGAATAAGTAGTCGCGCTACACGTCTACGCAAGTATCGCACCTGGATTGATTTGGACAGGTGTGTTAAAGAACTTTCAAGAAACAACAACTGCGATCAGACGCCGCAAAACACGTAAAGGCATGGCGCAAGATCGCGAGACGGCTCAAGTGGTCAGAAGGCTCGCGGATCAAGCAACCACATAGTGGACAAGGCGATCTCGTTGAGATCAGGGTAACTTATACCAGTACCCACAAGTACCCCGTGATCGCGTGGAGATTTCCGCACGATCACAACCCCATACACAACACGGTCAAGTTTTCCTTCGGCACGAGTCCATCTGGAAGAGTGCAACCCGCCCTACCGACGGGTACACAAGGTGAGGAAGGCAACACACACGGAATCGGAGTACCTCCTCCGTTATTCGATCGTCCTGGCGCCAAGGGAGAGTTGGGATCGACTCATAAAATAAGCGACGCCACTTCACCAAAAGGGCGGTGTCTTCTTCGCTCTCTGTTTTATCTGCAGACAAGAGAATGAGTATATCTTTAATCGGTAGGACCGGTGCACCCGTGCTTGCATATCAAGGCGAGCCTTGCATTGACCTTGGGTCGCTAGGTGAGGTTCCAGGTACCGCTCGCGAATAGCCTGTACGCTCACCACAACCTCAGGAGACTTAGGCCTGTGGCCAATGACCCACGTTGCCAACGTTTGGCCGGTCGTTTGACGTGAGCGTTCCTCCACACTGAGTCGAATAGATACATAGTCAAGTTGATGCTCAAGGGTTGCGATTTTTTTTATCATGGTGCCGAGTGTCTTCTCCTTGTTGGAGGAGTATCTGTTGTTGCTCATCGAGCGATTTCGTGATGATGTTTTCATCCGAATTGGGAGTGAGCGCGGCGCAAATGGCTAGTTCTCATCATCACTTTCAAGGAACGGACAGGGGGCAGTACAAAGCTGTACAACGGACATGGGGAAAGCGAACATTGTCCCTGCATCACCCGGAACACTGGTATCGCTTCCTTAGTCCACTACCTCCCCCATATCAAGGTTATCACTAGACGTTTTTGACTCTTCAGGTGATGAGGACATCGTGCTAAGCTTTACGTTATCGTGGGGTGAACCGCAAGCGCACTGACCTCGTGGAAGAACAAAGTTCGACTGGAAGAAGATTGAGTTGACTTCTAGGTAAATCTTATTCCGGTGGGGTGCGTAAAGGGTTTACGCGTAGTTGGGTACCTAGTACCCTGTGTCGTAGACGCACGTATGATATCCCACTGAAAGATACAAAGAATATTTTATCGGTATACAGGGGCGGACTGGTGTCAGCCACCAGATAGGATATAAAACTAATCCAGACACTTATGTCCTAAGTTACCCCAACCAAGATCTCAACAGATAGGAGATATCTTAGTCGTACTTGCTCAGGACATTAGTGTCTAGATTAGGCAATATTAGGATTAGGACATCCTGTAGGATTAAATGAAAATAAATTGCAATTCCCCTTTTCATCTAATAGGTACGTGCCTTGCAAGGCGTCTTTGGTCGCTGATCGCTGATCACTAAGAGTTAGCAACACCTCCTTGAGGTAGCTACTTACTCTTGAGCACTACATGCTGTCGAGTCACTGAATCATTTGGTCCCCTGTAACATTCACCTTAAGCTTTACACTTGTTGACTCGTTAGGTCTAATTCTTTAGAACTAAGTAGATCGTTGCGCGTTTCGTCTTCCTCTGACTTAAAAAGCTGTGTAGCCCCGCTACGTTTTTCTTCTCGCTTTATTTGTTAAATCTGCGCGGCTAATGTTTGTGCTTGTCGCCATGCTTTTCAAGTTTTGCTTGAGCTTGCTCTTATAATTATAAGAATGCTTCTTCAGCTTGAGCTTGCTCTAATTATATTGGGTGGGCTATCTCACATTTTACTGCTTATCTTTGGCGTTGTGCTTCTTAAAAATTTTAAAAGTTTACCTACGCTCCTTCTGTATGGTGTTAGGCTTCTCTTTTATTTGAGTAATTTTGCTTGTGTACGAGAGGCTCTACTATTTATCCTTAATGTATTTTGTTGCCCCTTCTGCCGTCTGACGTGTTGCTCTTGTTCAAACATTAGTCTTGCCTACAATTTCTCTATTTCCTCCGCCTGAAGCTATGCATGAACTCTTAAAGCTTTGCATCGCTGACTCTTCAGCTGAGCTTTTGCCTGTAGCTGCCAATGTGTCCTCGTACACGCCGCGTAGTATTCAGCCTGTGGTTGTTTGTGATGACTGCTGCCGTGAGCAGTACCTCCCGCGCAGCCGGATACTCTTTGTAGTGTTGCTAATGTATCTGTCATAGCAAACTTCTTAATTCCGTACGCATGCGTCGTGGACTCGCAGCTAGATCCCAAAATTTTTAAGTTATCAACATCCATGGGCCATGCTGACACTTCCCTATGTTGCTTTCGCCAACACTTATCGTGATACTGATCAAGCCAGGTAGATCAACCACCTTTATTGTTGTTGTAGCCGATGATGATGCCAGGCCCATGTGAAGACACTAGATTATAGAAGAAAATAATGCATGTCAGTGCTAGTGGATAACACATCAATAAATTCCTTAGTTTACGACTATCGTCACCGTACGCAAGCACTTATAAAACTAGCAGCGAAGAGTCGACTGCTATTTTTGAGAGCTTTAGCGCGCACAAAGTTAGAGAGCGGACGTGTCGTGAACCAGAAAAAAATTCTACATCTTGTGGGACGGCCTCTATTAGCCTCAGGTGCAATTCGGGCCGGCATATCTTCCAGGTATAACAAGCCCTGTAGGGTGGGTAATGTAACGGGTTGAATCGTTACGTAACAATTTATAAGAAATTGTTAATAGAATATAAGTATAAGAATTTTATTCTCAGAATATTGTCATAAGGACAATATGCTGCAGCACTTACGAGTAGTTCCTAATTGGTTGATATAGGCCATTATGTCGACCAAAGAAGACGCCCCACGACAGACGCACGCAATGAGTGGTGAGCGGATAGTTGGCATGCACATTTGTATTCAGACATAGTTAGATGAGGAAAGATAGTGATTTATTAACAGACATTAACTATTATAAATACAGTTCTACTTATTACTTTAACCAAGTACTTGCTTCTTCTATCGTCTTCCTCTGCACGTACCAGTGTGCGTGAAGTTACGCGGCACCGCCTTAATCTGTCGTCAGAATAAGTAGCTTGCACTGTCATCAGTACAAGCTTCAGGGTGCCCCGTTACACCTGGTAGCACTTCGTAGTCCGTCCAAGGACCACGTTTACATCTAACATGAACATGTTAGATGATGGAGATGACCAAAGCTTTCACGCTACGCGTGATAGCTACTCCCATTTGAGCGATGTCGAATGGGATGCGGTCAATCGGATAGGTTCAACCATGGGTATCCATGCTGTTAGCGTCATGCTAGAGGCTCTCGATAGAGATGCCCAACATGCTACTATCGCCAAGTTCTTTCAAAATAAACTTGACGCTGAACGCGAGAAAGTAGCCTTGCTTCACCAACAAGGTTCTCAACAAGCAGAGTTGTTGAGAGAACAGGTGCTCAATAGTTTGAACTGTTGAGACAGCAGCAGGCTGCTGCTGGTGGGTCGATGCACTCGCGTCGACCCGAGACCTTGAAGATTGACATCTCCAAGTATAGGGGAGTCGAAGAGGACTCCCTCTTAAGATGGTTTGTCGAATTAGACGACGCCATAAGGGCGCGTCGCATCGTCGACGGGGAAATGCAAGTTGCATTTGCCCAGTCAAACCTGGCAGGACGTACCAAGACTTGGGCACTGGGGCTCAAGTTGCACGACCCATATGCGTTTGGGTCGTTGGAAGTCTTCAAGTCGCGGCTCAGACAAACGTTTGAGCCGCCTAGAGCTGAGTTCAGAGCTCGAACTGAACTCTTAAAGCTCAAGCAGGGTAAGCGTGATGTGCACGCTTACGCGCAGCATATACGACATCTCACGAGATGTATAAGTTCCAATCCGGTGGATGAACACACGTTGGTTTCGGTGTTCATGCAGGGTCTTGCGGATGGTCCCGTCAAGACTCACCTGTGCCGACTTGAACTAGATTCACTAGAACAAGCCATTTCCATTGCGGAGCAGGAAGACTTCAGTCTGAGACAGGCTCGCGCCAGCTCGACATCATATCGTCCACCGAGACGATATGACAGCGGAGGTCCAAAGCCGATGGAACCCAGTTATGTAGGGAGCGAGAAGGCTCGCTCTACAGACTACAAGAAGTTGCAGAGATGCAACAGATGTCAAAAGGCAGGACACTACGCTTGCGAGTGTAGTGCCCCTCGTCCAGTGTCTCGCAACACTGGGCGTAGTGAACGTCCACCCATGAGAAAGGGGCAGGGACACGGGTCCGCTGTTGGTGCAAAGACGCAACAACGGGATGGACCGTCAAAAAACGGACAGGATCAGTAGGTGCGGAGCACCCTACTGTTCCAGCAACGTCAAGAGAATTTGTAGGCCTCTTGATGAAGGTTGCTCCCAACACACAAACGTTGTGCGTTGCTGCTCTAGGTAATGAGATCTCACTCATTACCTTGAAACTCGAAGTGACAAATAAGTTGTCCCTTCGAGCTCTAGTCGATTGTGGGGCGTCCAACAATTTTGTGTGACGCCAATCGCTAGAAGATGGTCACTTTAAGTTCAGTGAATGTGACACACCTCCTACGAGGATGACGGTACGTCTTGCGACAGGCGCATCCGTAACCGTCATGAAGCGTATAGTGAAGATCCACTATACGCTAGAAGATACCCAATATGATGATGACTTTATCGTTTTGGATTTGAATGACAAATTTGATGTCATCCTTGGAATACCGTGGCTCAGAAGGTACGAAACACGAGTAAACTGGCAACATCGAACAGTAACGATGCCTGCCGCTTGTTCATCAGATGGCCATCTGATGAACGTTTTGGAGCGTCCACAAGCGTGTGGATGTACTACGAGTGAGTGCGATGGCCTCACTTGTGGTACGGTCGTTAGTACGACTGCACAAAACCTTAGTGTAACAAACGGTTACACTTCGGAGCAAAGTTCCGGCGGCTGTGAGGAAACACAGGCTGCGCCGAAGGTCCACCACTCGAATAAGTCGGGTGGACTGGGACAAAGATGTATCCCTAGCGGGAAACATCTAGAAGAGAAACAATCGATCGCTCAGGTTAAGCGAAACGATAATCCTAGATCGACTGGAGAGTCTTTCGTAGAGGATCTCGCTGTGGTTGCGCAACCCCAGCTATAGGAAGTAAAGGGAATAAGTCCCAAAAATGTTACAAATACGGCGGAAATAAGTTCCCCGAAACCCGCGGGAATAAGTCCCTGGGAAGCCGAAGTAATAAGTCCTTCGAGGCCTGAGGGAATAAGTCCCCAGGATATGACAGAGACATTGAATGTCATAGTCAATGATGGATCAAGTGTAGGCGCTTATACACTTGATCTGATTGCGCCTCCGAAGTTGACTTTGGAGATCACTCAGTTGCCAACGCTCAAACATAAAAGGTTCTTGCGTGATCTGCGTAGTGGCAAAGTCAAGCAGATCTGCGTACTCGTCGCTGACGACGAGTGTGTAACCGACATAAGGTCAGCAACAGTGTTTACTGAGAACGAAAGAGTTCTCAGTAGTTCATCTATGGACGAGAGTGTCCTAGATGAAAAGACACGAATTGAGCGATATGAGTCCCAATCATGGGAATCGCTCAAGGAAAATCCTCTCTATGAGGATTTGGTTGAATTCAAGGATGTGTTCCCTGAAACTGTTCCGTGCGAATTACCGAAGGATAAAGGTATTCGACACGAGGTCGAGCTTAAACCAGGCTCGAAGTACTGTGTCATGAAGCAGTGGCCACTGCCTCGTGAACAAGTACTTCCGATTGACAAGTTCTTTGCCGATCGTTTAGCAGCGGGCCATGTGAGGGAATCAACTTCCCCACATAGCTCTCCGACCTTCTGTGTGCGAAAAGCAACAGGAGGGTGGCGGATAGTGCACGCGTTTAACAAATTGAACGCTGCAACGGTACCGGCTCAGACGCCGATACCGAGGAAGGACGTAATCATTGATGGTATGTCAAAGAGTACCATCTTTTCGTCCATGGATTTGATGGATGGCTTCTATCAAATCCTAATGCGGGAACGGGATATACCCTATACCGCAGTTAGCACGCCTAGCGGCATGCTCTGGGAATGGCTAGTAATGCCACAAGGGCTCAGTAATGCCCCTGCCACGTTCAACAGATGTGTATCACATCTGTTGAGACCAGTACGAGAGTTCGCGCCGAGTTATTTCGATGACGTATTCATCCATAGTCGAGCTATGGATGGAAAGTCGGACGTTGAGGTTCACAGGTACCACGTCCGACAGGTTCTTACAATCATGCGAAAGCATCAATTGTATGCAAACCTCAAGAAGTGTATATTTGCAGCAAGCGAAATACCACTTCTTGGGTGCATCGTTGGTAAGAACGGTGTACGTCCTGATCCCGAAAAGATCAAGGCGATCACCGACTGGCCTGTGCCGGTCGATGTCAAAGGTCTTCGAAAATTCCTTGGGCTAGCGGCGTATTTGCATAAGTATTCACGCAATTACGCCGAGATGACTGTGCACCTCTCTCGTTTGTTGAAAAAGAACGAGAGGTGGTTATGGAGCGCTGAATGTCAGCGCTCCTTTGATAGTATCAAGCAGAGTTTGATACAATCCCCAGTCCTAGCAATAGCCGATCAAGACAGGACATTTCATGTGGTCTGTGATTCCAGCGATTTCGCAATCGGCTGTGCATTAATGCAGTACGATCTTGAAGGCGTTGAACGCGTCGTCTGCTATCAGTCGCGTCAGCTGCAACCAGCTGAGCAAAACTATCCAGTGCATGACAAGGAACTCCTTGCCATGAAGTATGCACTCGCGAAGCTCAGAGTCTATCTGTTAGGAGATGGACCCTTCATTGTTTACACTGACCATGCGTCATTACGTACGGCAGTGAACAGTCCGCACCTTTCACAACGAATGGCGCGGTGGTTGTCATTCTTTGCAGAATACAACTTTACGGTCGAGTACAAACCAGGACGACTTAATGTCGTCGCTGATGCACTCTCACGTCGTCCCGACTTTGAACCAGTCATGAAACCCAACAGTGAGACAGTCACTGTTGCGGTTATGACGTCCTCAGTTCCATTTACAATGTTGTATGATGATGTGAGGCGGGCATACGCCCAAGATGGTGAGATTGTGAAGTTGTTGACACATCTCTCACAACCATCTCGAGAATCGTTGAAACGATTGTCGTCTGCGTATAGATCTGCATCAGATCGATACACTACTCGCAACGGTTTACTGTATTGTACAGCCGTTACTGGTGACACACCACGTGTTGTCATTCCAGATGATACTGATCTGCGTTTGCGGATCATGTTCGAGTATCACGATGCTCCTATAGGAGGACATCGTGGCCGTGAGAAAACATATCTCACGGTGAGTCGAGACTTTTACTGGCCCCGCCAGTATCAGTTTGTGCGAAAGTATGTTCGCGCATGCGAAGTCTGTCAACGAGTGAAGTCAAGTCCTTCACTGCGTGCACCTTTACAGCCTCTACCGGTTCCGGCTGAGTACTAAGAATCCATCTCGATGGATTTCGTCTTCGGGTTACCCAAAGACGCACGCGGGAATACGGGTATTCTCGTATTTGTTGACAGATTCAGCAAAATGGTACACCTAGTGGCTGTACCAGAGTCAATCACGGCAAGTGGCTGTGCTTGTGTCTTTATTGACACCATCTTCCGACTTCATGGGTTGCCCCGTGAACTAGTATCAGACAGAGATCCACGATTCACTGCTTATTTCTGGCGTTCCGTGTTCAAATCACTCGGAACGCGCTTGAAGATGTCAACATCTGATCATCCAGAGTCAGATGGTCAGACGGAACGAGCCAATCGTGTACTTGAAGAGATACTTCGAGGATGCGTACACTCCTTTCAGAGTTGGAGTGAGTTTTTGCCAATGGTAGAGTTTGCCATTAACAACTCGGTGCATGCGTCCACGACCCATACACCTTTTTACGTGAATGGCTTACGCCATCCGCGTGTACCCACCTTACTCGAGTGAAATCTGGTTTAAGGGGGAAGAGGGACTCGCGCGAGCAAAAAAAAAAAACCGAATTGGTTCACGCTCATCACACTCTGACGATGAGGTCATTGCGCCGATATCGACAACATCGATGTCGAAGAAGATGATGCCAGTGAGAGTGCGGAAGCCCTCACTCACTGAAGAAAAGGTTGATGTTGCTGCAGTGCACGCACAGCGCACTGAAGCTAACGAGTCAGCAGATGAGTTCATACTGGCTCGTGAAACGGTAGTCCGTTTTGTGCAAGACTCCATCGCCGAACCGGTGGATAAGCAAAAGCAAAACGCTGACAAGAGTGGAAGGGCAAACACTATTTTATTAAATAAAGGTGACTTAGTCCTACTGTCTACGATTGACCTACCAAAGCATGTAGTGACTAACTTGGGTAGCAGAAAACTACTACCCAAGTACATCGGCCCATTTCGTGTATTGCACCGCCTAGGCAATGCATACACGATCGAGTTGCCACGTAAGATGCGAACGCATCCCACGTTTTACGTTGGTCGGCTTAAGCCGTACCATCAGTACGCTTTTTCTCCCGATGAAGAATGCACTTGCGCTCAAGCATCTCACAGAGGGCCTTGTGCTCCCGATGGTCGATATGGACAAGGGTCTGAAGAGCAGTTATCTCAGTCCGAGACCGGTCAATATCCACACGAGCTACCCTTAGCTCGTCACGCAGAGACGTCAGAGCTCTCTCGTTCTCGAGCTGAGCAAAGGCAGCCCCAGCTCGATGCTTCGAGACAGTGTCCGCAAGTTGAAGACGCCTGTCCCGCTCATGCTCGAGGTCGTCACGTAACGCAAGAGTTACGCGATCAAAGAAGCTCTCGGAGACACACGCTCCCCCACGATAGTTTGGAGAGCGTCTTCCCTCCTCCTCCACCTCCATTGGAGGACTCTCGCGGTGGCCAGCGCTATCTAGTTGAGCAACTGTTGAACCACTGCGACGTGAACGGACGTCGGACGAGTTATCTCGTCCGTTGGTGCGGCTATCCCCCGTCCTGGGATACTTGGGAGCCCCGCTCCCAACTGATGGCTGACGTACTGGGTCTGGTTGAGCAGTACGACGCGGCACATCCTGTGCCGCAGAAGGACCACCGGAGAAAGTCTTCCCGGCACGGTCGTAAAGGGATTTCAGGTTGTCAATCCCTTCGTACGTCTCAGTAGAGACACGTACGCGCCACCACGGGCTAGTAAGGAGGTAAGCCTCCTTAGGTGTGTGTGCTGAGTTGTTCACATAACAAGGGCATGAGTCTCCCCAGGATATACAGTTATCCCACCCTCCTTAGACAGACGATGCAGCTTATAGCGTGCACCTGTCGGGGTTCGCTTCTCAAACTTATCACGAGCTTTGATAATTTTGTCGTTCCAAGCGTCACGACCTACATCCTCGAGGTTATGGATGTAGGCGTTCCACGCTTGAAGCAGTGAGGGACCATCACGTTTGTGATTCTCACTGTACCATCGATGTCTAAAGAAAGCAACGGTGAAGAATTCATTCTCAGTGTGATAGTCTTTCACACTGGGGTCAAGGTGATGGATCCTTGACGAATCGAACAATCGTGTTCGATAGCGATCACTCGTCGTCGCCGACAAGTGATCCATGACAGATTTAGGAGGCATCCATGCCTTCCTCTCAGGAGCGAGACTCAAGACACTGCGGTCCCGCTCTTCTCGCGACGTGCCGACTGAAGGACTGGCACCTCGTTGCGAAGTGGTGTCAATAGGAGAACCGACACCACGGTGAGCGCCCGAGTCTCGCGACCTCGAGCGCCTTCGCTTCGGCGATAATTCATCTGATTCATCAGATGGACCAAAGATGCTACGACGCATAGCATCATCCATGCCACGCTTGGCAGGCGGCTTGGATTCGATCTCTTTCCATACGGATCCGTCTTCCGTATCAGGAGAGTATGAGACACCGAGCTCATGCTCTGTGAAGACATGAGTGTCTTCATGACGAGCGCCTGCATCACCAAGTGACACAGGCTGAGTCGCTTCAGCAACCGATAGGACATCAGTTGCTGCGGTTTCTGCTTCGGCGTCCGCACAGAGACGTGCGGACGCGCTCTCGGCGGCCTTGCTCGGGCACCGCATGGGCTTGTTAACCATGCGATAAATTGTTGGAAAGTGGACGAGGATCAACAAGTGCAAACCCCGTCCCAAATGATTTGGGACGAGTATCCATTTAGTCGATCAGTCAATGACAGATAATAAGAGGGGGGTGTAACGGGGTGAACTGTTACGTATCAATTTATAAGAGAGCATAAATTGTTTTGTAACGGTTTACCCCGTTACATCACCCCCTTAACCATCTGTCTATCTGAGAACATGACTATAAGAGTTGTGTTCTCAGAATATTGTCATAAGGACAATATGCTGCAGCACTTACGAGTAGTTCCTGATTGGTTGATATAGGCCACTATATCGACCAACGAAGACGCCCCACGACAGACGCACGCAATGAGTGGTGAGCAGATAGTTGATTTAGACATTTGTATTCAGACATAGTTAGATGAGGAAAGATAGTGATTTATTAACAGACATTAACTATTATAAATACAGTTCTACTTTTTACTTTAACCGAGTACTCGCTTCTTCTTACCGTCTTCCTCTGCACGTACGAGTGTACGTGAGTTCCGAGGCACCGCCTTATTCTGTCATCAGAATAAGTAGCTTGTACTGTGACCAGTACAAGCTTCAGGGTGCCCCGTAACAGGAAAGGTGATTCTTTGCACTTCCAGTTCTTTGACCCTGGTCATCAGTGCGGCGCGCTACTCTATCATGATGACCAACATCGGCCGAATCCCCTCTCCAGTGCTGCTGCTCGAGATTTCAGAAGCCGAACGAACGATCCCTTGTTGGATTGCCATCGAAAAAGCAGCCATTTTGATTAAATGGCGTCTTCAGCCCCTGGTGTATCATTACCTGCTTAAAAGGACATGAAGTAAGAGTGGAAGGGTTGCTCCAATTATCCATTTTGTGCTGAAAAATTATCTTGTTGGATTATTAACGTACCTGATTAGGTATGTAACTATCTCCACATCAAATTGAGAATCTTCTGGCCAGATGGGCCTTGCATTATCCTAGCTCTCTTTCCAACGCTACGTACGCTGTCGTGCTGCCATCTCTCTATTTGAATGTACTTTAAAAGTTCTGTGGATTTCAACTTTGTCATATAAAAGCTTATAACACTTTAATCCAATGTGCTGTAAGCGAACAAGCGAATGTATTTGTGCTGAGAACTGCTAATTTCGTGTTTTAATTTGCCATCTTCTGTGGTAAATTCACTGCGACCAATTTTGCGCACAAGATATTCTAAGTAGATGTAGGCGGCAGCGATCGTAAGCGATAGCCAGTCATGCTTATTCAACAAAGGGTCACCAGCTTGCTGACTGCTTCAGCAACTTAAGTAGCGTCGTGGACTAACTTGCTTTCAGGATTTGCAACACTGACGGAGTCACGTAGATGCAGCAAATGACAAGCAAACAGAATTCATATAATCGCTTTCAAAGTATAGCAAACGCTTGCTGTCTGTTGCAGCAGCAACTGTCACGTCGCGGATGGTTCACACAACACAAAGCAGCACAGCGGCACAAAACATTTTATCGCAACAAAGACAGATTTTTATCTGTTCATAAGATCGTGCACAATTTGCGGTCTGCAGTCTCCTGCATTGAGATCCGGACAATGTTGCTACTTACCTGCAGCGACAGCACAGTCTTGTCTTTTTGCGACAACTGAGCCTCGCGCGGTGACATCTCGTGTCCATGAGTATCAGCACCAAACATAGCACAATTCTTTTTATAAAATTAAAATATTTTACGACAATGAGGTCCACGCTATGAGCGCGTTTTCGCGTCGCTTTTTGGGAAATGCCCGCACCGCTTCAGCAAAAAATGGCACCAACCTTACAGAGACTCATAGAGTAACTAGTCAATGCACTCTCTGGAAGTGCTCACAAAATCGGCAGGCACCACCACTAAGCCATCTAGCACTTAATTAAAGGAAATCGTCAATAAGCGAACAAAACAGGCAAAGGTGCGTCTCACTGCGAATAAGGTTCTTTAGCCCGTCGCTAGACCTCTTGGCCATCTAAATAGTAGCATGGTTCAGCCAAAACCTGTTGTTGAATTAAGGCTACCAAGATTCGATGCAGCAGCAGTAGTAGAAAATTACATGATGATGGACACATCGATTAAAGGTGTGCTCCGGTCGAAAAACAAGTTATAAAAACTTAATTTGTTATGCCGAAATTTTTTTTTTGGCAACACGTTGCACGTGCTACACTCTTCAGCTATCGTCCCTATCACAACAAATAGCTCACGTCCAATTCTAGCCATTCCAGCGCGCAGGACCCAATCTTGAATTACTTGCGTTTGGCCTTCTTAGTCTCCATTATGATCAGAATGACATTGCACGTACACCATTTTTTCGAATTATCCTATTCCTTTGATATGACGTAAAGTTTGGCTTATACGCTTAATTTATAGACCACTAGAACAACGTTAAAATCAGAGAAGTTAGCCTAGCATGTGATGTGCTCTTGCACGCCATATTAACGTTGGGTGCTAGCGTGGGACGCTGCGCTGATATGTTATTCAGGTATAATGATGGGAGGATTTTTCAGTAATGTCTAATTAAACTACTTTGATAACTTCCCATTAATGGGAGCTGTTTCCAGGAGGACTACTACTTTATGATCTAGATAATAAGGCTGATCTAGCACGATCGTTGATACTAACGCGGCGCTTATCTGGAATTATATAATAGTGCTATATGAGATTGACTCGAAGAAGAGCATACGAATCAGCGAAGAGAACGCAAAAAAGCTATTATCAAGGTGAGCAAGCATCAATGAGGCATCAGGGGGGACCTAGGTCATCGGCTCGAAATGAATAGGACAGCTCACGCCGATCAGATGCGTGGTGAAGATGGATGGTAGTAAGGCAAACTGCAGTAGTTGCACGTGGTAGCATGTAGAAAAACGTAGCTATCAAAAGCGACGAGGAATATGTAAGCCCTAGTCGGACGGAAAATTCGGTCGCTTTATAATTAAATGACTGCAATTACCAAAATAAATATATAAAATAGCGCCATATAAGAAGACTAACCTAAAACGAGCGACAGATAAATCAATGCTGGCGTAAATCAAGGCTGGCACCAAGCACTTATCACGATCGGCTTATAAATTTCGTTTGTTTGATCTCAACATACGGCGATCTTCCAAAATTAGGTTTTATTAGACTGATCAAGTAGTATTCCCCGACAAACGTGTAATTTACACACATCCGGCCGACCACCGATCCATGCAACTGCATGGATAGCAACATGCAAAATATATAGATCGCATAGTAATATGACTAGCACACTGTAGCCTTGCTTACTACAATGTTGCAACCGTCGTTTTTAGCCATTTTGATGATCATGTCAATAAAGTGAATGACGAAGTTCTAGGCATTTAGTAGCAAGACGCGCAAGTTGCCGCTTTATATGTCAAATTGGTAGTCAATGATGATAACGGAATGGAATAAGGGCACCAGAAACGAAGCTTGGTCTCTATTATAGCGCGTACTGAAATTGATTTACTGCTTACGCGTCTTCACTGAATGCTAAGAGTGCCGCATGCACGAAAAGACTCAGGTCAGTTACTACAAACGCATATTTCTAGGTTTAATCCTTTTTCTTGCTAACTGAATGACAAAACCAATGGGAACTAGATGTGTGCATAACTGTACGTTCTTATCATTTACAGAAACTTTTTTAGTTTTAAAAAAAACAGCGTACCTTTAAATTACGCTAACGGCTGACTCATTGTTGTCCTCTTCGTTCTGAATAACTGCTAGTGATCACAGCCCCGATGAACTCGAAATTGATGCTAATGATTGTAAAAATGTGTAAGTAGTGTTGACGCTCAACAATAACAAGGTTCTGACAAAGCAGCAGTAGATTTTTTTAATTGGTCGAAACTCGTCTAGAAATCTGCACATGGACGTGCACCAGATGTTGATCGCAATCGGGATCGTCGTACTTAACAACTGTACTACCAGTATATCGGTGTATCGCTGACGTACAATGATGCAACTTAAGTCGACGTTTCGGATATCAAAGCGCCTGTTCCCAACGTGCGCGAGACATGGATACAGCGAATGACTCCTATTGCCAGCAGCGACCGGACGCGATTGGCAAATGAGGAGTCTCGTCGCTGCTTACCGCTACAGCCGCTTTGCGATTACTGTCAAATGTGTAGGATCTTCTGATAGACTGGATGATAATATGGAGATGGGCAAGTCAGCCGTTCAGCAGGTAAGTCAGCATTTGACAAATGGTGTTAGTGACCCGGTTTTTTAATGATTACCTGATGCATTTAAATCAGAATGAACTGAGGCGCTTGATTTAGACTTGGTACGAACGCGGTTTCCATAGAATGACCGATTCAATTCATTATATGCACAGAAATGGAAGAACTACCCTACAGTCCTAGCCTAACCAAATTGGGGAAATGGTAAAAAGCCGACACTGGTTCTCAAGGATATAGCCGAATGTGACCAGTAATTATAGCACGCCATTTTTAAAAAACCTGGCTGGCGGAACGACATAGATATCATCTTCGCATCGCTTTTGCAAACTTCACACCCCTGACGTAAAGTTCGTGGTTAAAGGGTTTACCTATTGTAACGGATACAACCTTGCAGTTAGTTAAATATTTCTAAATAGCCGTATTTGGGAAGACAAACTTGTTCCATACATCAAAAAATGTGAGCTATTTTTAGTAGCTAAGAAGGTGAGCATAACGATATTAAAAGAACGCTCGGTGTACTCAAGTCTCGCTTGTAATTTATTGACCTTTCATGCAATTTATAGTAAAAAAACGCCGTGATAAATGTTATAAAGACGTGTAAAATTCTACACAATATGATATTGTAAGACGAGAGGAACCAGCATTTCGATAGTGGGCTTGGTTACGAATACCTACTTAAAGACGACGAATATATCATCGTTGTTGTCAGAGTTTTTCAAGAGACACGACCTGATTATAGGCATAAGTCGGCGACCATAACTGAGAATCTTTTACAACATTAAGAAATATAAGGTGT